AATTGGAAGGGTCAAGCAGTTCAGGTTTAGTAGAGTGAACTGAGCTTTCTGGGTTTAGAGAAGCTACTAACTCTTGTTCAGATGTGGTGCGGTGAGAGTAGCAGTAAGGCTAGAGAGTTGATGCTCTAAAATCTTCTTGTGCACTCTATAAATACACTCTTTTACTCCAAGGTGAAAAAAAGGTGAGTATTAATTATTTGTGCATGAGATTAAATAGATAGATAGACAGATAGCTATCACCTTGGGTTTGCACTCAGTATTTTAGAGATATCCCAGAAATAGCTTAAGTAGCCTTCTCTAACTTTCTTTTCTGGCCTGTGGAGTTCTTTGAGAGGACAGATAAGCATCTGAAAAAAGGAGAACCATTGGACATTTAGTTTCTCAAAACATTTTTTTGGCAAAATTCTGTATCCAAGGCTGTTAAAAAGAGACAGCATGGGATTGTGGAAAAAGTATTGTTGCATTTGGAATTAGGAGAGTTGGCTTCTACTCTCATCTTTAAAGACAAGTTATTGGGGCAGCTAGGTGGCACAGTAGACAGAGCTCCGGCTTTGGAGTCAGGAGGACCTGAGTTCAAATGCGACCTCAGACACTTGACACTTAGTAGCTGTATGACCCTGGGCAAGTCACTTAACCCCGATTGCCTCACTGAAAAAAGAAAAAAAAGACAAGTTATTTTACTTCCAGGTGTTGTACAGGATGATCTTTCTAGTACTTTCTACTTTTTAAAGTTTTTTATAATCTCTAGTGTTATTAGACAGTACCGTGAAGGAAGAAATAGCAGTTAATAAGGAGAATCAAGAAAGACCTAAATTCGAATACATCACCAGCTGTGGGATTTTTTTTTTTGGTTGTCACATAACCTCTGGAAGTTTTCGTTTACTAATTTTAAAAAGAGTCCTTTCTAGTTTAAAACGTTTGTGATCTATGATATGTGGTGGTACCTTGGAGAAGAATGCTTGTGGCATTGACAAGTTCAGATTTAATAGCAGGCACAATTTCACATACTTTAGAAATTTCAGTTAAATTTGTTAATATAGTAAGGTGTTGTTGGTTTTGATAGTGCATTTTAAACCAACCACTCTTCTATCTATTACCTCATAATTATTAAATTAAATTATTAAAGTAGTTTGGAAATAAAAGAATATGAATATATATTTAATTCAGAGGTCCTAAAATTAGAGAAATCATGTATAATGACTGTTTATTTTTACTATGGAGAGGAGCAATTACATGATGAATTATGCTTTTGTTTAAACTGCTACTGCAAAAGTCATGTTAAGTTCAGTTCTTATGCCTTTATTACAAGTATTTTAGGAAAACGCTGACTAAGCCTTTTTATTGATGTGAAGTGGGAAACACATTAATTTTTATTTACCCATAGTCATTAGTGGCCATTAATCAAAGTAGAATTTTACTTATGCAAATGATATGCTAACACATTAAAAGTGTGTTAATAATACTCCTGGTTCATGAATTTGTTATTAACCTTTCTCTGCTCCTGTTAACGAGCAGTGCTTGCCATCTCTCCTTGAGTGATCTAATTTACATAAGTTTTCTCATGATATTAAAAAATCACACATTATTATTTCCCATCTTTCTTAGATGTTTGAAAAATATGGATGTATTTTACAGCAAAAGCTAAAATTTCAAACTTTAAAAAGTTTCATAGTACTTGTTGGTACTAAAATGAATACAATCTTTGGCTTATTGGTTAATGGAGTATCAATGTAAAGAGATCATAAAAGAATATATATTAGAGTGTCTTGGGCCATGGGCTCCTTGAGGAGGACATTTAATATTGAATTTGGGGAGGAATATTAAAATTGTTCAGGCATTGCCTTTATCATTCCCCACTTCCCCCTTCGCTAGTTTAGTAATTATTTGGCATATCTATTTTGTGTGTTGAATTTTCTTTATTTTCTAAATTGCATGCTAATAACATGGTCATGTTTGTTAATTTACTGTTAAGTGCCACTTTGTAGTATTTATGGGATTCATCCTTCTAGTACTTTACTTTTCTCCAAAATTGGGAGAGTAAATCTCTGCTTCATTGTAGATCATGAATTTTTGTACTTGTATGATCTTCAGTAGTTGCCACACAGTAGGGGCTACCTTGGCAAAGGAAGTTGGAATAAATGGGAAGACAGGTCATTGAACTCACAGGTTAGGTGTTTGGAATATTATAAGTTAAATTATAAACCTTTATAGAGAGAATATGTAGTTTCTTCTTATGCCAGATAAAAAATAGGTAAACAGAACCAACAAATGAAATAATACTGTTGAGCTGTCCTTAATATTTGTTTATAACAGAGGGATCTGATAGGTAAATGAAAGAAAAAAATTCCTAAGAAACTAATTCTTTATATACTTTTCTTCTTGGAAATAGTGTACCAAGGAAGTACTGATTTGAAAATCATTGGGAATAAATGAGATTAGTGAAAAAAGAAGGAAGGAGATATGTGTTACTTATTTTCAAGCTTGTTGTTAACAATTACTTGCACAGAGTACAGCAGTTTAATTGGAAGTTTGTTATAATCTAGGTGTTTGGAAGAAGGCACGTGAAGTCATAACAACCTTAGTAGTAATCTCAGGAAAAAGAGAAAGGTCTAAATTCTCTAAAGGATAAAAGTATACAGTGTAGTCTTACTTTCATTATGTTTTTGAGATTTTGGAATTAAGTTGTTTACAGTCTATATTAATTGATTGACCCCATGATGTGTTAAACTAATCAAATTTAAAATATTTTAATATTAGCATATTACTTAATTATTTTCTATATTTGTATTCTTATAAAAGTTTTTTTTCTGCTATTTGTGAATAGTGAAGAGCTCACATGTTGCTTACTGTTGATTATTTGTTTTCTATATCTTTGGTAAATATAACTTTTTTTTATCATGCATACATGAAATGCTAATTCCAAAAATGATAATTAAAAATAATTAATCCATTTATACTTTTCAAATCTTTATCCTACCCTAGCTTCTAAAAAAATTGAATCTGTTTGTTGTTAAATTGAATGCATTTCACTTAAGTCCTGATGTCATATAAAAAGTCAGAATTTGAATTGTAGAAGAGTATATGTAATGTTTGTATTAGTAAACCTTGATCATCCAGAACTTTTTACATTGCACTTTGAGAAGAAGAGGAAATCACAAAACAAACTCTTGTCAGGAATTTAGGGGGAAAACAAAACTTCTGCTTACATTCTGGCGTCAGTACACATTTAGTCCAACCTCCTACCCCTTCTATTCTGTAGTCTTTTACACTGAGAAGCGATGTTCAGAATGATGATCATGAAGCACTAAAAGGCCCTGAATCATCAAGGAATATCCAGTATAGTCTGCTTATAAAGGTAGGAAAAGTGGACTAAAGTGTTTTGGAATGATTTTCAACAAGGATTGAAACAAAAAGACTTAATTTGAACATTCATTGATCAAAAGTACAAACACACTGCCCAAGTATTCTGGTTAATCAGACTTTTATGAAGTTCCAATTCAACATTGAACCCACTGTCCTAAGATTGATATTTAATTCATCTTTCATGCTGAGTATATTCAGTGACATTTTGTTAATCATTTTATAAGAATTTCTTTAGCTTCTCTCATTTTATCTGAATTACACCCAGTGGTTCCTAAAATTTAGGAAACTTTCCCCAAAACTCTTTATTTGTCATTATGTAATTACTGGAACCTTTGGTTGAAAAATTTATCTAGATGTTTATTTGGAATTCTGCTCCCTGCCCCCCAATCCCTGTATATGAATTTCTAACTAAAAAGTCATTTATTTAGCCTCTACTAAGAATGGAAGTTTGAAATTGACCCACAACTGTGCTGAATGTGTTGTTTTAAATAGCATTGTTACATTATTTTACTTACATTGAATTCCATGTATTTGTTGTCATATTATTTTTCTAGCATTTTATTTTGGTCTTCATTGTAAAGTCTAGTTGGCTATTTTAAGTTTTTAATTAAAGGACCTCCCCTCCTCCCTCTCCCCCAAAAAAAGATGCTTTATTACACTTAAGTCCATACCTTAGTCTTAAAACATGGATTTTAATCCTAATGCTCCGCCCCCCAACCCTCTCCAAAAAAAATGTCAACAATGTATTTTAATTTGGTGCTTGAAGAAGACTGATACTGTTTTGTCTTTTTAACATTAGAATATTACTAAAAATGTAACTATAAACCCTAGTATTTTTAAGAAGATGATATTTTGTCTGAAATATTACATTCTCCAGTCAGGCATAGGAGGTATAAAACTGTTTAGAGCCTGTCTTTGAAATATTTGAAGATTTAAAAAAGAGCTATGTATCCTATAGTACTCTTTAAAATGAGAGAATTAAAGTTTTATTTTCCTTTTATGATGACTCAAATGGAATGAAGCACAAATTCATTACTCAGTAGTAGAAACATTCAGATAAAAAATTTCCCAGTTTCTAGTAACATATACACTTAACAGAAAAAAATAGTGGTTTTCTGCAATTAAAAATGCCTCAGTGAAATTAGAAGATCCAAAAGCTATAAGGGAACCCTTGGTGGTCATTTTGGACCATTCTTAAAGACTCTAACCTTTACTCAAATAGTTGTAGACAAATGGAGAAAAAAAGCATGGTGGCAGCAAATTCAGTGGGTACCGTGAAATATTTTGGCTATAGGCCTCTTTCAAGTGTCTTGTGAAAGAGTAATTGACCAGCAAGATGGTGGATTAATTACTTGATCTAACGCTTCTTTAAGCCCAAACTTTCCCTCACCCCACCTCCAAAAGAGGCATTATAAAATTAGTGCTTTAAGGGCTATTTAAGAGAAATATCTCTTGCCTAACTTGATGATCCTCACCTTTCACCAAGAGAATGCTACAATAAAGCAGAGAATTCATGGTGATTGGAGAAATAGAAAGCCACCTGAGAATAAAAATTTCCAAGTGTGTGTTTTCCATTACAGGATTATTAAGTATGATTTTTCACAGTTTCTAATGTTTCTTTTCTTTTTTCTGTTAAGTTGCTATAGCCCAAGGTGGAACAATCCAGATTTCTAATCCAGGATCTGATGGTGTTCAGGGACTACAGACATTAACAATGACAAATTCAGGAGCTCCTCCACCAGGTGCTACAATTGTACAGTATGCAGCACAATCAGCTGATGGCACACAGCAGTTCTTTGTACCAGGCAGCCAGGTTGTTGTCCAAGGTATATTTTATTACTGCAATAAGTTTAGATAGTTTTAAATGATTCACACCATTTTGTGGTGGGGTGGCTTTTCAAATGATATTAGTAGTTTTTATTGGCCACTTAGCAAGGAAGAAAGCTGAGAAAGATATAATGTCTTAGTACATCAAACAGCCATTTACATAAATTGCTTAATTCCCACTAAGTAGGAAAATTTTGTGAACATTTAGAAAAATTAAAGTTAATGTAAAGTTATGATAAAACAGCATCCAAATTCTGTTGAGTTACTCCATTAAATAAATATCCATAATTCCTGGGTCACGAATATATTATGTAATGGATTTCTAAAAGTTCCTGTTCTCTGAGGGATAAGAACTTGATCTTTGTTGTATGTCTTTTAGGACAAATTTAGCCTAATCATAGTCAAATGGTTGAGGTGGACTTTTTTCCCCTGGCCATGGTGCTGCTGTCAAATTGCCACCAGATAATTTCAATACAAATCCAAGTCCTTAATGTACCAGTTGTACCTAAAGTACCAATTTTCTCTCTGCTGAGTTTGGTACTCAAGAGGGCCAGCCTGAAGAAAGGAAGACCTGAATTTAAGCCCTGCCTCTGCTACATCTTAGCTTTGTGACTGTGGGCAAGTCAACCCTTCAGGGTCTCTAAGACTATTAAGTTGCAGATGAATTGCAAGTCTGCTTCAGTGGAGGGAGTTTCCACATGGGGAGTTCCCTAAACCAATGAAATCACAGGTCTAGCTTAGACCTTCCCAATTCCCTTCTCCTTTCCCCCCCACACCCTGTGGCACTTATAAATAAAGTGAACCCATAATTATGCAGTAATTCCATGCTATTACAGTGACCAGACAGCTTGATAGACTTCCAGTTATGAATTATTTTAATCATTTTGTTCAGTTAAATGAGTTACATTCTTAAGGGCATTCAACATTAATTAGTTAGCTAAGAGGGCTATATATGTTATTTTATGTGAAGGAATACAACTTTTTAAGATTCTGAGTTTCATTTCTCTTGAACGGTGTGTTTACTCATTGTATATGTTTATGGCACTGGTTTTGAAGGTTATCAAGCTGAGCTCTTTAGTCTGTTACTTTTACAATAATAGAAAACAGCAGCTTACACCAGACACGTAACATGAAAATACTTGCTTTTCCCTTTTATATGCTTTGCCTCTCATATAGCTAATCTAGAACATACAGTATTTGAAGAACTGTTACTAATGTTCATTTGTGTGAAAAATACACCTAATACTTACTTCATAGATAGCACATCCCTAATCCTTGGTCAGAATTTTTTCCTAATGTAAAAGAAAATTTGTTTTATTTGACTCAGTGTAAATTTTATATAGAGTGAAGTTATAATTTCTAATGTGGTGAACAATAATTTCTTCCCTACTGCAATCTCTCATTCTGTGTCTTAGCTTTTTAAGAAAGCAATAAACTTTTTTCTGGACAAAGTGCAAAACTGATAAGAGGAAAGGCTATGCTTGACTATTGTAAATATGGAGGCATTAAAATGATACAGCTTAATTATGTCAGATTGAAAGTCAGTTTTGTACTTCTGCCAACATTAGTGTCAAGAGACTTCTAGCTATGTTGTCACTTTTCCAGCCAGTCCTGCTATTCTGTCAGTTGATGGTGATGATGATAATGATGATGATAACTAAGATTTACGTAGCCCTTAAAGGATTGCAATGCGCTTTACTTATTTTCTCTCATTTGATCCTCACAACCCTGTTGTTGTCCCCATTTTACAGATAAGAAAACTGAGGCTGAAAGAGGTTAAGTGACTTGTCCAGGATCATACAGCTAGTAAGTGTCCGAGGCAGGATTCGATTTCAGGTTCTCCTGAACACAAGGCCAACACACTATCCACTATGCTTGGTCCAGACTGGAACCAGGTTCCTGGGGAATCGGTTTTAAACTATTCCTTAGAAGAACACAGTAATAGCATTATTTTTAGTAAAAAACAAAAGCCCACCAAAAAGTAGTAAATTTTTAATAAGAGTATTGGGGTAGGCATTAGGAAACTTGAAATCTAGTGCTGACTCTGCTACCTATTTTCTGACTTTGAAGGAAAGTATTTTTTTTTTTTTACCACTTTAAGCCTTGGTTTCCTCATCTGTAAAATGAGAAGACTGCATGAGATGATTCTAAAGCCCCTAAAATTGGGTGACTCTACATCAGACCTACTCCTATATCCTAGAGACTTTAGGATCTTCCCAGTGATTCAGGTCTACTCAGGGTGGAAGCAGAGGCGTAATGTGGTCATTACCTGGGGAGTGCAAAATGGACTTAACTTTGCTATATTCATTTAGTCTTTCGGATCTTCATCAAAATTCCCAGGGAAACTTCAGGTACCTGGTATTTAATTCAGAGCACTAAGCATTCATTCAGGGATACGTGTGTCATTTTTGTCCTAACACCAACTTGATCACTTTTAGAAACTCAGTTTACTTTTTAAAATTTGTTTCCTCATTTGTGGAATGGTGAAAATGATGCTTTCCTTGAAGAATGTTATATTTTAGTATTATCGTGATAGCAAAATATATATCTTTGAGCTCTTAAGAAATAAGACTGGTGTAGACCCATTGTTGGTAGAATGAGAATTTTTATTTTGATTTGGTTTTCCACAAGTGGAGATTAGTTGCACTTAACCATCTATATCTGACCTTACCATCTCATATTCATTCACTGAACATAAATTTATTAAACACCTACTATGTGCTAGGTATTGTTCTAGGAGCTGGAGATATAAATACAAAAATGAAATAGTCCCCAATCTCAACGAGCTTACAGTGATCTTTTTTTTTTTTTTTTTTTGCAAGGCAATTGGGGTTAAGTGACTTGCCAGGGTCACACAGCTAGTAAGTGTCAAGTGTTTGGTCTGAGACTGGTTTTGAACTCGGGTCCTCCTGACTTCAGGGCCAGTGTTCTATCCACTGCGCCACCTACCTGCCCCACAGTAATCTTTAATAGCTTAAAATACCCTAAGGTTTTCCCTGTATTAAGGGAAAACACAATGAACTCCAAGATAAGTAAATTCTAAAATACCAAGTAAGGTCAAAGAAATTGCATTGAAAGGGAAGTAGCAGGGGCCAGAGGGTAGGGGGGAAAAGGGGAGATATACAGACATGGCCCTTGACCTGAGCCTTCAGGGGAACAGAGAAGGTTATGAGGGAAAGGTCAGGAAGGAGATGCATTCCATATCGGGAGGGGGTTAAGCATGTGAATGAGCTTGGAGGCGGGAGAGGGAGTGTGCTTGTGATGGAGAGCAGTGTGCTGCTATTAATAACTTTGGAGAGGTAGGTTAGAGCCACGTTGTAAAGGGCTTTAAATGCCAAATGGAGGAGTGTGTATTTTATCCTAGAAGCAATTGGAAGCCACTGGCACACCTTCAGCAGAGAAGTGACATGATGGCGAGACCTGTGTTTTAAGAATATCAATTTGACAGCTACATGGAGGATGGATTGGAGACCGGAGAGGTTGGAGGCAGGGAGACCAATTAGGAGGCTATTAAAATAGTCCAGGTGAGAGGAGATGAGGGTCTGAACTGGCAGAGTGGAGACAAGAGTGACGTGTCTTGGTTGGCATTGTGGGAAATAATTGATGGTTGGGGGGGGGGAAGCATTTATACAAATATAAACATATGATATATAAATTTTTTTGTTACTTGTCCATACTTGTGTTCTCTTAGTACAACCATCTCTTGGTGAGCACGCTCCCCCTGTTATTGAAGATTGGCAACTGTGCTGCAGTTTTGAGTCTTTTCAGAGTTGCCCGGGGCAGTGAGAGATTAAGTGACTTGCCCAGGGTTATGCAGCTGATGTGTGTCAGAGACAGCACCTGAAGCCAGGTCTTCTTGACTTTTTGAGGCCAGCATTCTATCCTCTATGCTGGGCTTCCTTTCAGTCAGTATATTGTGATTTTACTAATAGAACAGTCAATCAGCAAGCTTTTATTAAGTACCTCCTATTTGTCTGCTTCTGTGCTATCCCCCTACCCCAAACCCCTGAGAAACAAATACAAATGCAAAGAATGAGACAGTCCCTGCTTTCAGGGACCTTAAATGCTGTCAGGGCAGGAAACATGGACATATATAAGATATATACAAAGTAAATGGAGAAGTAGAATTTTGCAGTGTTTTAATTGTGGTGAAGTATTTTGATATTTAAGCTAAAATTTGATAACCATAATTATCACTATTATCTATGCTCAGAATCCCTAATGTAATTTCAGGTGAGGCAGGATGAAACATACCTATAGAATTCCTATAGCAGTGATATTTAATCTTAAAGATACTCTCTGATGATTCATTGTTGCATATTTGAGTTCTTAGCTTCTCCAAGAACTATGCCTGTTAGAAATGCAGGGTCAAAGAGGTACTACCGAACTGGTATAGCTCTACAGTATGGGCCTGGCAAAGCATTTCATTCTTCCCTGTCGTCTAAGGAACAACTTAGCTAAATTCTGAGGAGCCAGGTTGGCCGTAGAAACTCCAAAGAACTAGCATCTGCACAAAAGGGGTTATGTTTTCTGTCAGTCAAGGGTGTACGCATGCCAAGGATGTCATGGATCTAGAGTACTAAAATATAATATTGAATATTCTGGCACGACAAATGACTTAAAAATAAGAAAGCAGTTAACATATTCCACCAATAAAGTCAGCAGATAGTCTCTCATGCCAGCAAAGAAAGCTCTGACTAATTAATGTTATGTCAAAAAATGTTCCCTTTGCAGTATAGAAAATCACAATATCTCTTGTTCTTTTTTTTATTCCTTTTTCTTAAACTTTTCATTCCTCCAAACTTTAAATCTATAAGTTAGAGTTAGTCAGTACACCAACTAAGAAAAACAAATGTATTTTTAGGTTTCATAAAAGTTTATATCAAAATCTTCAGCAAAGAAAAATATAGAAATAACAATAAAATGGTTTTAATTCTTAAAGTTAGTGTGGCTGACATTTTCTTTGAATTTATTTTATTTGAATTGTTAGAGCCAGTTT